TCCACAAAATACGTTTGCTCGAACCCGCGGACGACCCACCGCGCCTTGTATTTGTCGATGGTTCCGTCCGCCAGGGTCTTGATCCTGAAGACCCATTTCCCCGTGAGAATTTTTCTCCCCTTCGCGTGTCGTCGTGGGACCAGCTTCCAAGTTCCACGCTGCTGGAGGGCAGCGACTTCTGCGGCCATGGCGGCTCTCCATTTTTCGGCATCGGGCCCGCTGAGGGCCTGGCGAACAGTGGACGGCTCGACCAGTTGCTGGTTACCCCGTACGGCGACGGCGAGGCCGAGGATGCGAGGTCCGGTGAGGTTGGATTCGGCTGTGTTGGTTACTTCGATGACGTTGTCGTCGTCGCCAGGGATGTTGCGAACCGTGTCACGAGAAGAGTAGCGAGCTGGATCTTCGTCCATGGGTGAGTGCATTTCTGCACTTGCGTAGTCGTGTTGAGCCTGTACTGCTTCGCGGGTATCAGTGTTCGTCGGAAAGAACGTGGGTGTCTCGAACTGCTCCGTAACGGGGACAAAGGGTGTGTCGTCTGCTGCTGCCTCGCCTGGTTGTTCTCCTGCCACGTCGATGTCATCCACGTCACTGGCGTAGTTGTGCTGTCCCTAAAAGATGTTGTCCGGTACGTTTTGTGCAGTGCGGTGCTGGCGGTACAGTGGCAGGGTCAGTCTTTCGTAGAAGATGCAGTCACGTGAACGGGTAAGTTGGTGGGTGGCAAAGTCCTGGATTGTCCAGGCGTGGTATTCGGATTCGATTCCGAGGTGAATGCCCCAGCGGGCACGGTCTTCAAATTTTCCGGTGCGGGCAGTGTGGGGGCGGTACTATACCATGCACCCGAATACACGCAGCATGCGGGTGTCGGGGTGTTTTCCGGTCCACTCCTTGAAAGGAGAACTATTGTTGGGCAAGGCTTTTGAGGAGAGCATGTTGTGCAGACGAACTGCATGCGCCATCGCGAAGGGCCAATATTTGGTTGGCACAGCTGACTGCTTCATGAGAGCTCGCATTTTTGTCGCGAGGCTCCTGTTGGTTCGCTCGGCCAATCCCTGCTGTTCATGAGCGTAGGGGAGCGAGATCATCATCTTGATGCCCTTCTGCTTGCAGAGGGTTTTGAAGTCCTCCGACATATATTCCAGGGCTTTGTCTGTCTGGAACGCCTTCACCTTGTGTCCGTCGTTTTGAGTCTCTGCCATGCTGAGCCAGACTTCGAAGCACTGGTAAGCAAGATAACGGTCGCTGGCATTTACAGCCCAGACGAAGCGCGTTCCAGCGTCGATGAAGGTGAGTGTGTACTGCTCCCCTCCGACTCCTTTCGCCGTGAGCACCAAGAAATCGCTGTAGACTTTTTCTAACGGTTTGTAGCGTTCGGCTCCAGGTATCTTTTCGGCGAAGGGCGTGTAACGTAGCGCGGTTGCCGGGAAGACAGAGCAATTGGGTAAGTTGGTTCTTGGTTTCAGCAGCTTTCCATCTGGCAGCAACAGTGCGCCTTCCCCAAAGACTTTTGCGTTGATGCAGTTATTGAGCACCTCAATTGATGGGTGGCCCATGCGTTGATGCCAGATGTCTCCGTCGGCCCGATTTCCCCTGGTGCGAGTGCACAGCTCCTTTTCCCGTGCCAATATTTCTTCTGCTATCTCCTTCCTGGTTTCGTCCGCATGTTTCGTCGGGTACGGTGATGTGTACTGCGGCTGCTTGGAGTTTCGCGCCGTGGTACGTTCCGCTGGTGTCGCCGATTGTGACGGTGCTGATTGTTACCGGCAGCTCCCGTGGTCTTTCAGGAGGCGAGGTTCGTGGGCGACGATCTTCGGGTTGCGTGGTTTCTCCTTTTTCGGAGATGTTGTCGCCGATCGCCACTCCCTTTGTCTCGAGGCGGAGGTAATCCCTGCCATCCGTCGTGATGGGAATCAGGTGAGGTCCGTACTCCGTTAGTAACTCTTCTTCCTCTGCTTCTGGCGCCTCCTCAGTGACTTCTGGTAGTTCCACCGTTCCTTTTTCCTCTGTTGCAGGTTCTTCGGCGATGTTTCCCAAACCAGTTTCAGCTGCAACGGCTTCACCGAACGCGGTGTTTTCCATGACCCAGCGTACGTCGACGGCGTCCCAGCCTTGAGTAGTGTTCCAGCTGGTAGGGTGTGGAACAGAAGGCCAGGTTGGTTGCGCGGTTTCTGTGTCTGCTGCTTCAGTTGTTGCGATTGCCGTGCCTGACATGCCCTCTTCTCCCTCTTCCGCTGTTTGTGGTCCTGTATCTCCAGGGTTCGTGGTTGAGGCGACAGGTACGGCAAGGGCACGGAACGTGCCATCAGGGCCCTGTCGTTGGTAGTCTGTCTCTTCCGGATGGCTCCACCTGGGTGGTGACGGGTGGCCTGGTGGATCGAGAACGAGGATGTGCTCGCTGTAGCCAGAGGTTCTAGGTGACTCGAAGTCGAGCACGAAGACTCCTTCCACGCTTGTCGCCTTTCCGATAAAAATCCCCTTGTATATTAAATGCATTTCTGACTCCGCACTTCATAAGTTGGTGGAGGGACAGGAGGTTGTACCGGAGCTCGGGCACAACTAGAACGTCGCTGATGTGGATGCAGTAGCCGGTGTCGTAGGAATGCAGCTGAACTTGTCCGCGACTGCTGGCGTAGATGGTTTGACTGTTGGCAACGGTGATTTCCACTTCGTTGAAGAGTCGTTCACTGTTGAGAATGAAGACGTCTGACGACACCATGTGTTGACCGCAGCAGCTATCCAGGTACCACGTGTTGACTTTCTTTCTTGCCTTGACGAGGTTGGCGAGTTTTGGAGTGATGTGATGTTCCATGTCGTGCTCGTTCTCGTAGTCATAGGAATAATCTTCATCGTCGTATGCCTCGCGTGCAGGTGGCGACTCCTGGATCCACGGCGGCATTTCCGACTCGTACTCCATACGTCCAACCGTCAGCTCGTCATATGTCGGGTTGTTTTCCTCTTCGTCTTCCACCGACCCTTCGGGACGCTCCTGCGGTGGATCTGCGAACATGTCTTCCCAGCTGCGGAAGAAGCGGTAGTGCCGATTTGGACGGGGTGGCCCGCGACGCACCATGCAAGTTAACACCTTGCTTTTGCCCTTGTCGTTCGTGTTCGCAGGAATACGTGCCGGAGCTTGAGATGTGCTTGCGACGGTTGGCGGAGACACTGTCTGATTACGTGCCGGAGGTCGTCCTTGCTGGTGAATGGAGGCGCCTGTCTGGTTGTTGTTGTTGCCGTTCAGCTTCCAGCAGTCTTGAATGGTGTGTCCAGTCTTCTTACAGTACTTGCAGAAGAGTCTCTTTTTGTCCGGCGGCATTTGTGCGTAAGGCAATCTTGTCCTTTTTGTTGCCTCTTTCATTGTGCAGGTCCATTTCCTTCTGCTCGGAGAGGAGCGTCGAACAGAGGGCAGTTTCGCTGACGGTTCCTTGAGTGCGAAGGAGCGATTTGCACTGGCGCCATTCCGGGCTCAATCCAGCGAGAATAATCGTGACGAACATGTCGTCAGGGAAGTTTCCGCCACTTTTCCTGAACTGGTCTCTTAGGTTTCTGCAGCGGTTGATGTGGGATCCGGCCTTTTCGCCTGGAATCATCTTGACGTTGTTCAGCCGGGAGTCTGTTGCCATGTGGCAGGTGCGCAGGTGTTCCCAGGGCTGTTGCGCCGGTTCCCACTCGTTTTTTAAGGGGCGAATGCTCAGTTGTTCTTCAGGCGACAGATTCCGGATCAAGACGGTGAAGGCCAGGAGAGATTCGTTGTAGTACTGAGGTGAGCCGTTGGTTGGGAAGGGATATGATCCGTCGTAGTACATCCAGATCTGGGCGCCTTGAGCTAGTAGTTCGAATTTGAAGCTCCAGGTAAAGAAGTCTTGTCCATCGAAGGGTTTTGTTGTCCTGAGCTTCGACGTTGAAATAAATTTGTTTTTCATTGACGCCATTGTCTCGAAATGTGCTTTCTGTGTTTGAGCAGGTCCTGGAGCTCCGCGATTGTCGAAGGTGAAGGACCGTTCTGATCCAGCTTCTTGAAGATCGAGAGGTCTGCGGGCGTAGCTTGAGCCGTCGATGCTCATTGGCTGATGGCTCTCCAGTGCGCTGATGCGGGAGATCAGCTGCTCAAGGAGCGCTGTATCCACAGTCGTTTTAGTAGAGGTAATATTAGTGGAAGGTTGTACTGGATTTTCTCCAGTCTCTCCGCAGTTAGCGCCTGGCATTGTGATAGCCCTTGATGTCGTTGATGTTGGAAGCTTAAGTTATGAGGAAGCTTGTTTGAATGCTCTTTTAGCAGCTCCTATAATCCAAACTGGCTGTCATACCATGCTAGAGTGAGGATATTGGATAGGATAGGAGTTGCTTAGGAGAGTTTGGTAGCGGAAATATTTTGTAGGAACTCTGATCATAGTGAATGTAAATGACAAAGTTGATTAAAGGATAGAATACAAGCAATATAGATAGTCCTATCTAGCTATGTACTCTAAGGGGTTCATTCCCTTATTATAACTTTCTTACAGGCAATTCTACAGTGACTCTGACTATTGCTCTTCTTTACCGAGTCGCTGCTTGTAACCGTGCGTACGGTTACGCCTGTTGCCATTTCTCGATGGTAAATCAACCGTCGGTCCAGATGGTCAACAGTCGCGACAGTTGACTCTTGCGACTGTTGACTTTCCTGCCTTGATATAGGCTGATCCGACATTGCTGCTCGCGCTGCTTCGATAGTGACTGGTGCGATGTAGCTGCACCTTCGGGAATGCTTAAGTTAAATTCCCTTCATACTCCAACACCATGTTGCCATGTTCGGTGTCGTCCAGCCTGGTTTCCTGGTTTCCTAATGTTGTTCGCGAATCATTAATATTCTCTGAAAGAATCATGTACTTACTATATTCTTATAGGGGTTTCGAATTACAAAGAAGCACACACTGATTGGGCGAAATGAGCGATGAAAACGGAAACTGCAAATGAAGCCAAACCATTTCGTTCACAGCAGCTCTAGCGTAGCTATGAATCGTAATCCAATGAGAAGCATTCACGCCATCGCACCTCATCATTCCGCCTATTCCCGAACCGCCCACGCTCAAAGCAACTCTAACGTAGGTAAGTCGTAACTTTCAGTCAAGCAGCTTTGATTACCCGAAACTTAACTACCCTCCCACCATCCCTGTTTTTGCGATGTCCTTCCTTCACGCCCCGCGAAATCGACCCCTCACCATCACGCAGCACGCATTGCAGATCGAATTAATCCGCGCTGCTGCTGATTAGCTTCGAGGGTCGCGGAAATGCGCTAGTCCACGAAACCCTAATTAGAGTTATGCTCCCCTATCGTTTCCCCAGTCGGACCTCCGCATCTTGAGCATTGCAAGCCGGCGCCTCACAGTCTACGAATCACTATGCTCGTTGTTGTGTCACAGCCCGATGTGCAATTTCTAGTTATATACCGAGTCGCGTACGATTCTGCAGATTTCCGAGAGACTAGCACAACAGAACCCCTTGATGCACTCTTAGCCCCACGGAACATTGTTCCCCCGGGCCCTTCCCGTGCTGTGTGTCCTCGCCCTGGTTCGTGGAGTCATGTTGTCACTCACCCAGGCAATGACCGTTCAAGCCTGTGACCCAACTCAGGCTGTGACCAGCCGCATTGCTGTTCCTCTTTCGCTTAGGTTCATTCTCCATGCTCTCATTGACCTGGGCTCTCATTGACGAGGGCTCTCATTGAACGTTCATCGGACCCTATCTATGCGTCTGTGCCAGCGCAGCGGCGAACCCTTCTAGTGATGGGAAGAGCTAGATTCGACGACTCCGAAGCGCAGAGAATGGGGAATGCTTCCCCCGCGGAGTCCGCCCCTGAGCCATGCGCTTCTTCCGCCGACGCCAGCGCGCCGCTCGACGGGGCTGGGCCCCTCGCGGCGATGACGGAAGCGGCGGAAGACTTGGCTGACCTACTAATTCAGGTGCGCGGACCTACTAGCAGATTCCACGCGCAAATTCTTCTCCCCTCCGTGTCCCCCTCGTCTCCCCCGGTTCCCCCCCACTACCCCTGCCCCCCATCCCGTAACCCGCTTTTGGCGTCCGTTTTTTGTCCTTTCCCCTCGTCCCCCTGGCATTGCATCTGTAAACCCCACCTCCCAGCTCCCCACTTCCACGTGTTTCTCCCTTGCCTCCTTCCATCTCCGCTCCCCGCTTCCCTTTCCTCTTCCCCTCCCCCCCTCTTGTCTTCCTGTGATCTTCCCACTATCTTCTCCCTCTCCTCCCCCCACGTGCAGGGGGCACGGTACGGGGACATGGAGGACGTGGCAGCAGCGCTGGACGGCGGTGCGGATGCTGGCTTGGCAGATGCTGAGGGGCGCACAGGTGGGCGGGGGGTACGGGGAAAGCGGGGCGCACAGGTGGGGGGGGATGAGGGGCGCACAGGTGGGGGGGGATGAGGGGCGCACAGGTAGAGGGTGATGAGGGGCGCACAGGTGGGGCTTAATTTTGCATGCGTGTGTCTGTAACTTTTGGAGTTCGTGGGTCGAGTGAGTCCAAAGGGGCCAGAGCTTGGAGGGGAGGTTTGACCCCAACCCCCCCTCCCCATCCGCCACCCTCTCTCCTTCGTTCCCTTACACAGCATGCCATAGTGCAGGGATGCACATGTCTCCACACGCGGGGAGAAGGGGAGCTGGGGAAGAGAGTGGAAGGGAAGTGGCTTCATTCTCTCCCTTTCTATGTGTGCCGTGCCATGCATGCGTGCTCACCACTGCAAGCCGTCCCATATATACATACATACATCATACATGGTGCATGTGTGTGCAGCGCTGCACATGGCAGCAGCCAACGGCCACACGGAGATCGCCCGCCTGCTCATCCAGCGAGGCGCTGTGAGTGTCTCTCACTTGCCCCACCCGTTTTGCCGCACGCGGAACTGCATTCCTACTACTCATGGCGTCTGCTACCCCGCCTCTCTCTCTGCACCCTTTTCGCCCTCTACCCTTGCTTATCCATGCTGTATCCCTTACACCGTCCCTCCACACGTGTCTCTCAGCCGGTGAATGCAGTGAACAGGCAGGGCAACACGCCACTGCACTGGGCGGCTGTCAATGGCAGGGACTTGGTAAGTGCAATGCAGGGTGGGCGATGTGGTTGTGGGGATGAGTGCAGGGGAGAATGGCAGGGACTTCGTGAGTTCAGGCGGAGCGGGGGACAGGTGGGGCTGCAGCCAGGGAAATCCCTTGTGTTCTGCACCCCAACGGCAGTGAACCAATACCTTGTTTTATCACGGGCCATGCATCATCAGCATTGCATTCCGCTCTGTTGGGTTGCAGGCTTAGGGCTCCTGTTTGTCAGGCGGTGCTGTGACACCCACAACAGATGCCACTCGTCCTTCATCAGGTTTCGGGTTTAGGTTCACTCCACCCATCCCACCCCACTCCACCCCACTCCTTCCTCACCATCCCATCAGACGGTCCATCTGCTTGTTTCTTCTGGAATCCGCCCCTCCGCCATTCGACCTCAAAATGCCCCCCACAACCCCCACACCACGCAACCCATCCCACCCCACCTCACCGCTTCCCACCCCCTTCCCCAACCCGTCAGATGGTGCATCTGCTCATTGCTGCAGGAGCCAGCCCCTCCGCCCTCAACAGGTAACCCCCTTCCTTCCCTCACGCTCCTCCTCACACACACTTCCCCGCCTGCTATTCACCCTGACCGCTGCTACCCACACCCAACGCTGCTTTCTGCTACCCATCCGCAATCGCTGTATCCATGCAGTTGTCTTGTGTTGATGGGGCGAAGGCCTATCATACTCAGGGCTGCGACCACATGCAGAACATCCTACACCAGTGGACGAGGTGATTCACAGCAACAACCAGCACACCCTAAATGCCATTGGTGCCGCCCCTCCCTCCTGCCCGTTTCAGCTTTGTGTTCTCCCTGTTTCCCACAACCTTCATACTCAATCCCCATCCCTCCAGCCACGAGCGCACGCCAGTGGACGAGGCGATTCACAGCAACAACCAGCTCACCTTAGACGCCATTAACACTGCCGTTGCCACGCGAGATGCTGCGAGCTTGACTGTAGGGGGCAGTCACGGCGACGACACAGGGGGTGATGGCGATGGGGGAGATGAAGCCACGGATATCATGGAGTGAAGGGTTGTGCCATAGGAAGTTGGTGAGTCGACTGGGAAATCAGCCCGCACAGGTACCATCTATGCCGCCCTTGCCACCCAGGATGCTTGGAGCTGTAGCAAGGGGATGGGGGGCCGATGGGGACGGGGGAGGCATAGCAGCAGAGGTCATGGGATGGACGTTATTTGCTGGAAGTTTGTGAGTCAACTGAGAATCAACACATGCTGTCCTTGTCACCCAGGATGCTCAGAGCTTGACTGTAGCAGGCAGTCAAGGGGATGACACAGGGGACGATGGGGATGGGGAAGGTGCACTCCCTCGATGTGCCAACACTTGGGGCTCTCTTAGGGCGTGGAACATTCTGGAATGGCTCGTCCAGAGTGGTCAGTCGCCGGGACTTTGAGGGGTTACAGTTTGTTGGGCTGAGAAAGCCCTTAGGATCGTTTCAATGACTAAGGCTCAGGCTGATAATGTATTAGCGGAAGCGTCTGAGTGAACCACCTTGCACTGGTATCAGGGCCTCAGATTCGTTTTGGGCCACGCTTTCTCATCAGTGTTGGTCATTGGAAAAAAACTTTCTATCAGGGTCCCTTAGAGAAAAAAACAAGAGGCGACGAAGTCGTCATAAGGTTGCGAAGCGATTTTCTATAAGTTACATACTGAATTTTATGCGACTTTACTAGCATAATTTTACTTGCTGTTTAATTGCGACGAAATCGACACTACCTTAGGATTTGTGTTCTCCTTTCCCTCTCTTTTCCACACGACAGAGATTATTGCTCTTCAGATTCTCATGCTAGTCCCGCTCCACCTAACTACTAGGTGAGAAGTCCTTAAAACTAAGTTAAATTTAGAACTAAGTTAGATGGTATTTGCTAGACCTAAGCACGTTCTTATTAGCTATGACGACCCATAATATAGCTCGGTAGATGTTGCTGTTTCCGTTCGATGTTGCTGCTGTTAATATTTTAGAAGCCTCAGCCACTTTACCTTAACATCTAGATCGCTAAGTAGTTCCTAACTAGTGCTCCTTGTTGGAAACAATTAATTTAAGCGCCTCTGTCGTGTCGAAACACCAAGTCACAAGCGAAGCAAAACGTATCGAAGCACTGGCGAGTCAACCCTCGGAGGTTGAAGTAACTGTTGGAGGTTACGCGAAAGTCAAAGGTCAGCGACCTTTGACCTGACATACACAGCGTGACAGCAAGGACACACAACTGACTCGTTACAGAGCAGTTGCCCGAGTCGTCACTGTATCGAACCGCAACAGCAACAGTAAAACAGTTATTAGCTATAACCATTAATATTCCCTTGTATTCTTATAAAAGCTTGTATCTCTTTGTTTTAATCAATCTACTTTGCCCTCACATACTAGTGCAAGGTGGTTCAATATCCTCATTAAACGCTTCAAGACACCTACAACATCAGAAGGCATGGCCACTCAAAAGGAGAGAAACTCCTCCAATGGCTCCCCCGGTACTACTCCTACTCCACCTCCTGCCTCTGGCCTACAGACAGAGGAGGGCACGGCAACGAGACCAGCGGCAGAGTCCACTGAAACTCCTGCGAATCAACCTGTAGTCTTCGACCAGAGCATGATGGAGAAGTTCTTCTCCTTCATGTCCTTCTACGAGCAACACCAGCAAGCGGCACCTGCGCAGTCAAGCAACAACAACAACGACGTAACGCCCATGAGCCTCGACGGTTCATCCTACACGCGAGGAAATCAGCAACAGCAGCCTACCTTTGCTCCGTACGAGCCCCAGCGCGGCTCCATTAGCTTCATGCCGCGGCCTTCACCTGGACAAGAAAAGACATTGGACGCACTTCAGTTGTAGTCGCAGTTCGCGCACGTCCTAAAACTGCAAACGTCAAGACCTTTCGACGGAAAGGACTTCTTCACCTGGTCATTCGAGTTTGAGCTGATGATGGAAGGCGCGCAAATCCTCGGCTTCTTCGACGGGTCCCTGCCATACCCAACATACGGCACACAATACGACAAGCAGCAGTATACGTATCAGTCAATGATGGCGTACACAATCCTACTGAAAAACATCACTCCGAATCAACAGCAAAACATTCGGTCTTACCGGGGATACGGCAACTCCGCAGAGCTCGTGCACAACCACCTGAAGAACCTGTATCAAGCAACAAACAGCGTTAATCAGAGTCGGTTAATGGCGCAATTGACAACAGTCGAAATGAAACCGGGCGAAAAGGGGATGGCGTATATCAGTCGCTGTCGCGAATTGTGCAACAAGCTTCTTCGATGCGGAGGAACAATATCTGAAGACGCCTTCGTGACAGTCATCATCGGCGGCCTTGGTCCTCAGTGGCGCTCCACCTGAGCCATTCTTCGATCTCACAGAAGAATCTCCGAAGCAGCGCTCTGCGCCGAAATACATGCTGAGCAGCAAGACATGGACCTGCAAGAAGAAAGACACAAAAGGAAGACGTCAACATCTGAGTTCGCCTTTCACACTCAGCGACGCTACAACAACAACAACAACCGGCACCAACCAAAACCTGTAGCTCCGTTTTGTCATATATGCAAAACGTCAGGACATCCTCGGACACACTGCCCCAATCGACAGCAGTCATCATCGACGCAGCGGCAACTTCGACCTTCAAGCAGTCAAGTCGCCTCAACACAAGCAAATCGCACCACCCAAGTACAAGCCTCAACAACATCGACGGGACAACCTGCACAAGGAACGATAAACATCGTTAGGTGCATGGCAAGATTGACCGACTCCTGCATCACAGAGTCACCGCCGCACCACTCACCGGAAGCACAACTCGACAACAGTACACCTCGCCGCGAGTCACTTCAACCAAACCCAACGTATGCAGCTATCGCCCAAAGCGAGCCGTCCGGAAAAGACACTTGGTTCTTGGACAGTTGCTGCGGGCAGCATATGTGCTCTTCAGGACGCTTCGTGCAGCGAGAGTATCAACTTCAACGCGAAGTAGTCATCACCGTCGCCAACAACCAAAACCTGCGCACACGACGATAAGGCGTGGTTCAACTTCACGTGGAAGGAGCCTCGGAAGAAGCCGGACCTCTCCCTTACTGCTCCGTTGACATCCCGATGGACGATGAAAATCCCCGCGAGAGCGTCAACCGCGAAGTCTTCTACAACTTCGCCGACAACGGTTACGTTACACCTGCACAAGTCAACACCAACGAAGCAGAACGCGTAGGACCAAATTTCATACCTGATCCAGAAGCGGGAGATGAAGCAGTCTATCCCGAGGATACAACACTCCCCCGCTACACATAGAGTGACCTCCAGATACTCGGCCTCGTCACCGCGGTTCACGGCACGGCCATTCCTAAGGAGCCTGCGACAGTTCAACAGGCTCTGGGGGGGGAGCATAGGGAAAAATGGCGCGAAGCCATGGACAAGGAGGTGAAAGCACTGGAGGAACGCAGCACCTGGAAGGTCGTTCCCATCGGCGTGGCACAAAACAAGACAATACTCACCGGGAAATGGGTCTTCCGTGTGAAGACGAAAGCAGACGACACCATCAACAAATTTAAGGCGCACTGGGTCGTACGCGGCTTCAACCAACAGCACGGACGCGACTTCACCGAGACGTTCGCTCCGGTCAGTCGACACACTTCGCTACAAATTCTCCTCGCGATCGCCGCCATGAAGAAAAAGAAGCTGCGGCAAATTGACGTCGCCAACGCATTTCTCTACGCACCTGTCGACGCAGAGATCTTCGTCGAACTACCACACGGCTCCAACGGAAAACCCAACCACGTCTGTCAACTACTGAAGTCGCTCTACGGCATCAAGCAAGCTCCGAGGCTGTGGCAGCAGTACCTGCACGCAAGACTCATCCGCATCGGAATCCGCCAGCTGCCGCACGACCAGGGCATGTATCGGCTCACTAAGGGCACCGACTACATCCTGCTAATCGTCTACGTAGACGATCTACTCTACATCGGCTCCAGCGACGGCGTCACCACCTGGTTCGAAGGGGAGCTGCAGAAGGAAATGCGATCTACCTCAGCGCCGCGAAATACGCCGACACCATTGCTAAACGCTTAGCTCTCACACCGACCACCATCTCCACGCCATACCGCTACACAGCAGGAAATTACAAAGAAAGTTCCGCTCCACTCAAGCCTGCCGGCATCCGCGACTACCAAAGGAAACTAGGATGCCTTCTCTTCGCGGCCGTCACCTGCCGTCCGGATCTGTCATACCCAGCGAGCCAGCTCGCCACCTACCTCAAGAAACCTGAAGCGGAACACATGGCGGAGCTCGACCGGGCTTTTCACTACCTCGTCAGCACTCCGACGATCGGCCTGACCTATCATAAGAACGCAACTACGATGCCCAAACTAATCGGCTACGTCGACGCCGATCACGCCGGCGATCCCGACAACAGGCGTCTTCCTTGGCTTCCCCCCTGACGCGCCTGGCTGGCAGTTTTACCACCCCACCTCATGACGTGTTCTGTCCTCCCAGGACGTCACGTTTGACGAGTCGGTTCCTTACTACCGTCTCTTCCCCTACCGTGCTGCCCCCCTCCCCCCCCCCCCCGCCGCTCTTCCTCGCACCAGGTCCCCCTCCGGTAGACCCCCTCCCCCCTCAGGGTCCTGCCCCCTCAGGTGTGTCCCAGGTAGACGCAGTCGAGCCTGTCGAGGTAGCTGTTGACTCTGGTGCTGCTAGGGGTGCTGAGCCTGCGGGTGCCGGGTCTGGGGGTGCTGAGCCTAGGGGTGCGGAGCCTGGGGGTGCGGAGTCTGGGGGTGCTGAGCCTGTGTGTGCGGAGTCTGGGGGTGCTGAGCCTGTGTGTGCGGAGTCTGGGGGTGCTGAGTCTGGAGGTGAGCCGCCTGCGGGTACTTGGACTGCTGGTGTGCGGTCTCCTTGGAGTAGCCGCCTCTGTCCGGGTGCCTCTTACCTTACAGCAGCTGCACGACTGGTACGGTCGCCGTCAGGGTCGCGCTGCTGGAGCCCGAGGCTTTGCTGATGGAGGTACTTCTGCTGCCGTCCCTGGAGCTGGGA